TGATAATGACATGAAGATGCAAATGGCTACTAGAAGTGAAATAGAACCAGAAACCCAATTTTAAACAGGAAACAAAGGATAAACCTCAATACCTGTACAAAAGATCAGGGAGGATTTTGAACCAGATTAAGTGTAAATCTATTGACTTTTATTGAGAAAAAATAAAGTAAATAAATAGGGAATAAAATTTTAGAGTTTTAGGTGGAGATGTTAGAAACCTAGAGTTGAAATAGACTTTAGAAGAAAGCCAGTCCTAAACGGAAAAGTTTGAGTGTTCATTTTCATTATTAATTACACTTGTTTCTTAATAACTCATATAATAAAAGGAGAACTGCAAAATCTTTTGAATGTGAATCTGTTTTTAAAGATAATTTTTTACCTACTATCAGTAATAGTATTTTTTAAAGTACACTACTGCATATTTGTCTAAAGGTTTAGATTTTAAAACATTAATTTGTCAGTCCTCTGTTAAAAGGATTCACAAGTTGGTGTTTTAACAAAGGACGGAAAGGCACGTTGGGATAATGAAAGTTTTGTGATGTCAACGAACACTTCTTGCCACTTTTGTGATGCCAACAAATACTTGTTGGTACTTTATCAATGCTTGTTGTAGTAGAGACTTTGTAATCGCAGATACAACTATAGTACACTGTCAAACAATACTGATGAATATTCATTGAATGTCTCTACTGTTAGAATCAGAAACAGTTGAAATTTCTCAGGAATCTAATGCAGAAAGGAGGCTTAGAAAATTTGGCACTCATAGGACATATTGAAGACAAGTGGAATAAAGGAAAGTACTGTATAACCTGAATGATGAGCTAGTGTAAATGGTTTGCAGAATAGGGATTAGAAGAAATAACAAAAAGACAAAATTTATTCAGTACTCCCCGAAGAGGAAATTGTGGAGAGCCTTGATCACTCCCATCTTGAAGGGACATGTCAGATAGAACTTTTGAGCCTTAAAGTTGAAGATACACTTATTAATGATGATTTAGTAAGCTAGCTTCTGCTGAATTTCATGTTTATTTGTAGGTATTCACTGAGTGTCTTTGCATGAATCAGATGTGTGTCTCTGCATAAATCCCATGTGTGTCTCTGCATGATTCTCTTGTGTGTCTGAAGCAAATTTAGTCAATAGTAAAGGCTATTCACTTTGAGATGAATGCATTTTATGATAAGAATTATCCAAGAAGAAAGATTTAATTCTCAATCATATAATATTATTCTTATTAAAAAAAAAAAAAAATTTTTTAAAAATCATTTGGAGGTATAACGGTGGAGTTATGGATAGTGGCGTGGATTGAGAAATCGGAAAGCTGAGTTTGAATTTCATTTGAATCCATTATATTCACTTACATGCTAATACTCTTGGGAAAAGTATGAATCCTCTTCTTCTCCCCACAGCTATGGGTAAATATCAGGACAGACTGGGTTCTATAGCCTTGAATGGCAACTGGTCTACCACAGAAAGAAATGACAAACTACTGTGGGGGAAAAAAAAATCTGCCTCATCAATCATCTGTTGAAAGATACACAATCGCCTAAGCGTGTATGATTCTTGGCACATAACTGACTGACTGAAAATAGTATTTGAGGTTATGATAAAAAATATAGGTTTCTTCCAAGTGATATTCCTTTGGAGTGACCCATGAAGTTTATTCTATTAATTGAGTAAAAATAAAACATTAACTATATAATTACCATTTTTCTTCTACTATCTTTTGTTATATTTCAGGTAACTTCAGAATAATGTCCTTAAAAAAAAAATTCCAAGCAATAAACTTCTCAAAGTTACTTAGCAGTATTTCAGGGAATTGAAATTTGGTTCATTAAGAATTTTCTTACATTCAATAATTAACAGTGCATTCTCTATAAACAACACAAATCGTTTTGTGAAGATGAGCTGCATTTTTACCTTATGTAAAATAAAACTACATAAATTCAATGTTACATTCTTTGTCAAAATCAATAAATAAAACTATTTATATGACAGCTGGCAGAGTACAATTGAGAGTGATCTTAGTACTATTTCATGACAAAAGCTGAACATACTTTTTGACCAATCTAATATCTTCACTTTCTCAATTAAGCTATTTCAACCAATGACAGCGAGTATGAACAAAGAATTATCTCTGTGAATGTGTATGTGATTCATGTAGCCATAACTTTCTTCAGTGAGTTGATAGTATTAAATCTTAATGACTACCAATAACGTACAAGAAATGTAGAAAAAAGAATGTATTTTTCAATGCCATCTTATATGCCTTATGGAACTCACAAGAGCTGATTCCAAGATTTTCTGTTTTCCTAAAAGAACATGACAAGATTATTTGTCATTCATTTAAACCTCATCTTTTTCAAATAGCATCCTATCTTTTCTCTTTTATTATATTCTTTTTGATTCATTAAACAAATTGAAATTAGCTGTCCAATAAAAGGTCCAGACATTCTATCACCCAGAGTGGTGACCATCTTCATTATCACTCTGGGACAAGGCAATAAATTTTACTTCATGAACATTCAGTGGTCAGATCAGATCAGACGTCTCAAAGTAGTTTTAAATTGTAGCATTTCCAAGCTATAACTGGCATTAGTGAAAGGAAAGCAAATCTCATTATTATGAATGTTTTATCAAGCAATATTCAAAAAAAGATGAAAAGAAAAAAAAAGATTTTGTTCAACATACTTTTAAGAGTAAACTAATGTAGTTGATTAAAATATTTAAAAAAAATCCAAGACTGTCAAATTGTTTGTGGTGTGTTGTATACTTAAGATCTGATCATTAATTAAGCCAGTCATTGTGTGCTCAGATAGGATTTTAGATTACTGAAGCAATCAAGTGTAACAAAATAATTTTTCTTTCATGAGAGTACATCATAAAAAATGTACAAGGTATTTATAATAATAACAACAGTACTTAAAATGTATTTATGTAATTGACCACATGCACGCACATTGTGTTATTCTTTCTCCTACTCTCCCATGCCTAATATGTCTGGGGAGAAATTGCTTGTAAATTCTTAGTTGGTGGGGGTGAGGTCTGAATAAGTTTATAACGCTTATATTTGCTGTTTTAACACTTAACTCAAGGAGGTTGGCACAAAGAATATAAAAAAATTTAAGTTGCAGAAATATAGTTAAGAGTAATCTAAAAAGAAAAATGGGAATTTAACCACCCTACCCGAATTTATTAACCACCCTACACCAATTTATTAACCACCCTACCCCAATTTATTAACCACCCTACCCCAATTTATTAACCACCCTACACCAATTTATTAAACTCAGGAGAGTAACAACATCATATATATTTAGAAAGGTGGATACATAGTTATTTATTATTGAATTCTCATCTGCAGTTTTGAGTGTCCGATGTTTAATGTATTTGATTAATATTCACCGCTGAATTAAGTGCATTAACAAGGAAGGAGATTATGTTGAAAAATAAAAAAAATAATACTCTTTTGATTATTCTGTTAAAGAACTAGCTGATATAATCTACATACTGTGTGTAATGGATAAATTACCATATAAATTACACAAAAAATAACACTGACATCTCATATTTAACAAAATTACACAAAAATATCTTCAAATATGAAAGAGTAAATTTATTCATTAATATTGCCATTGGCTTCTACCATGGCGACCAGACAACTTCACAATCTCCTACAACTGTTCTGGATGGTTTCCTTGTTTAAGTTGGTGAATGCTGCCATAATCCTTACCTTCAGTTCATCTTTGGTGTTACTAGGAGTTTGATTGGTCTCTCATTTAACTGCACCCCACATGATAATCAAGGGGGGTTCAGTCTGGGGAAATAGTTGGGCAGATCTAAGGAGTGATGTGATCACAGAAATTGTCTGACAGCCATGACTTGGTACTCTTGCTTGTGTAGCATGGTGCAGAGTCCTGTTACCAGACAGAGGCATTTCCATCAGCCACTCTCTTGATCCAGGGCAGCACTGCCTTCTCAAGGCAGATGTAAACCTCTGTGTTGAGTCTGAGACCCTGTGGGAATGTGAATGAAGGCATAACATCACCATCACTAGTAATCACTCCAAACACCATGATGTTGACTGGATATATCATTCAACTCTTTCCAAATCCTATGCATCATACTCATGTAATGATGCTCCTTTTCTCACAGATGGTGCCAAACTGACCCTACTGTACTGTGCAGTCAACAAAATCAAAATCAAACAATGCACATGCAGAAAATGAAAATTATAAAATGGTGACAATTTGCCTATTGGACCCTGTCTAATACTGCTTGAATTGGTTGAATTCTTTCAAGTTTTCTTCACCTTTCAAGGCTAAAAATTTATATTAAAATTTTTTTGAAATTTTAAAAGAAAAATACTTTTTCTACCTAAATATTTTCATCTCTTTAGTTAAGTAAAACAAAAACAGTTATTTCTGTCTGAATTTCTGGGATGACAAGTTATAATTATTTACGTTCAGATTTACGTATTGTCTGTCCTCATATTTGTTATTGTTATTACAATGTTTCAGCCATTGCGCTCCCCCCCCCACAAGCCTTCATCAGGTGTATACTGATCTAGGTAATGTACAGGGAATTCTGAACTGAACCCTTTATTTAATCTACTGGGTTAGGCTGTTCTCATTCTACTGCCCATATCTTGTCTAATTCTTATTTTTACTACTACTCAGTTATTGCTCATCCATTTCCGCTGAGTTCTATTACACAGTCTCCAGACCAGCGACAATCATCTGCAGTAGCAGCGCTAATCAGCAGTCAGGTTAGGTTTAAGTCGCCAAGTTCACCACAGAGAATTGTTTTTTGGGATAAGAGCCTAGTGGATTAAAGCATTGGTTTATCACTTTAGTGACATGAAATAAGATGAGGGCAACAGTTTGAATGTAAAAAAAAAAACCATAATTTCCAAAGAAATAAAAACTTCTTCTTGCCAAGAGTTATTCAAATGTTTGAACTCTTTTTTTTCTTTTTTTTATGGGGCTTATGCACACATCATGTTGAAACACCAGTTCTTGTACGATCATTAATGTTAAGCAACATCAAGCCTGGTCAGTACCGAGATGAGTCACCACTTGGGAATACCAGGTGCTGTAAGTTTGGATGTGCAGGTGGTGTCATGGATAATGACTTGGAATTGCTAATCAGAATGCTGAGTTTCAATTCCTGTTGCATTTGTTATCTTTCCTTATGTGCAAATACATCTGGGAAAGGCCTGAATTCAACTCATCTCTCCCCAGCTATGGGTTAATTAGTAAGACTTGTGTTGCTAAGCTATTCTTATCTCCCCGATAAATTTTTACAAATCTAAAAATATTTTCTGGCTTTAAAGAAGCAGAAAAGGGTTGATAAACCATAGAAAATTAATGAATCAATTTTCTTTGTGTTATGTATGTTGTTCTTCAGACATTTCAGCCAGTCCTTTCTACAGCCATCATCAGGTAGCATTCCTTTTTTTTTTTTTTGTTAAGATGATATTTGTAAAAGATGGAATTTAAATGAAGGCAAATGGTAGAAAAAACTTCAAATCTTGTTTTGCATGCATTATGGAAAATGAAAGAATCTTTATTACTTTATTGTCTTAAGTATTTTGAATATTGTTTTTGTTACTCTTGGGAAAGAACAGTTTCTGTTTCTATAAAAAGAGTAAATTTATGAAGGCAGATGTTAAATGGATTGTTGGAAATGTCAGCTGAACAACATCAAAAATGAGATCAAGTCTTGGTAATCGAATTCTTCAAATTTTAAATGAGAAATTTATTCGTATTTTTTTTTTCATTAAAAATAAATATGAAATGATTTTCATGAAATAATTATGTCTCCAAAATTATTGCAATAAAACAATAACATTTTGCATGAGAATCAAGCTTTAAACACTGTAAAATAAACATATAAAAGCATCCATCTCATTAAGAAAATATATTTTATTTGACTTAGAAAAGTTCATTGAGGTGTGACTGGGTGGAATTATTTGCTAGTGCCTATCTCCTATCCGATTTAATTATTACCAGTAATATTGAGTTACATGGCATCTCTAACTTGACTGGAAAGAAAAGGTTAGGAATAGCGATTCTTAATTTACAAGCACAAACCAGAAAGAAAAGGTCTGGGAAGGTTGTATTATGACAATTTTTCAAGTGGGGTTGGTCTGTCTTGAAAGTCAGCTTTTGAAATCTTGGTTTTCTTTCTGGGTTTGAACTGAAACCAATGCTACTTTTGGAAAACAGGTAATTACCTCATTGACTTTTCACTAATTATTCATTATATGACTCATTTAAATCTTTTTCACAGTTTCTTTATTTTGATCTTATTATATAATGAAATCCACTTGCGAAAATGTTAATAGCTTTAGTGTTGAGCTTAGAATTAATTATTTGTCACTCTTAGAATAGGAATGTTGTTAATTCATTTTCTTAAAGGAAATCTATACAATTTCATCTGAACTATGCCATACTTTTATTACAGATTTTAGCAGTTTCAAGAAACACATGCACGCATGCACATCAGTGTATAAAAAAAGTAAGCAGCTGCCTTCTCAAATCTGAGTATGAATGTCTGCTATGGTGAAGAGCTAATCCCTGTTTCAGACTCCTGCTCAGTAACATTTGTGTTCTTCAAGAGCCAACCTGTTGTTTATACTGCAACTATGAGAAGAACTTAGTTATATATAAACAAAGTGTTTATAATATATATATATATATATATATATATATATATATATATATATAAAAGTGATCATAGAAGTCAACACTCAGCTGCAACAGGGTATTTCATGCTAGATGCAATCATCAGGCCATGTGTGTTGGGTTTTTTCTTGGCTATTTCTATTTATGGGTCAGTGGTGCATTGTGGGTAGTTCATTCTGACAGTTATCTTGGTGGGAATGGTTTGTTTATTTATTTATTTAGGTTAATTTATTTTAATTGTTTTTATTTTTTTTAACTTTATATATTATATTCTTTTTGGTTTTCAATGTTTTTAGTAATGTAGTAAAAAAAAAAAAAATTAACAAACCAATCCCACCAAAATAACCGTTAGAATAGACAACAACAATCAATCCAAAAATTGGATGAAATTATAACTATAACTGCTATATAAACAATCAAAAACATTTTTACTACATTATTTAAAAATCAAAAACCAAAAAGAATAAATATAAATATACAAAATAAAATATATATATATAAGAAAAAAACAAGTAAAATAAATTAATCCAAATAAATATATAAATAAACAAATTAACAAACCGCTCCCACTAAATTAACTGTTAGAATACATAAAGCAAGTAAAAATAATCAATCCAAATAAATAAATGAAATAATAAACAAATTAAAAAACTTCCCCCGCCACAATAACAGTTAGAATAGACTACAGCAATCAATGCAAAAATTGAATGAAAAATTGCTTTATTTAGCTTCCCAGACCGAGACAAACTATTAAATAGATGATCTGAACTAATGTCAAAATTTTTTACTATGTTACTAAAACATCAAAAACTAAAAAGAATATAAATATATAAGATAAAAATAAATTTAAAAACAAGTAAAATAAATTAACCCAAATAAATAAACAAAACACTCCTGCCAAAATAATCATCAAAATGGACTACTCACAATGCAACACATGGCCTGACAATTGCGTCTAGCATGAAACAGCCTGTCGCGTTTTTAACTTCTATGTTCACTTTTATATTTTTATATGCTCTATCTCTGATATTGAGCACTTTATCCCATAAATATAGCACATCTTAAAACTATATTTATATATATATATATATATATATATATATGCACTAAAATGCTATATTTATGGGTAAAAATACTCAGTATCAAAGAGAGTGCATATATGTAAATATAAAAGGTGGGCACTGAGGTCAACACTCAGTGACGACAGACTGTTTCATGCTTGAACACAATCTTCACACCTGAACATTGCATTTGAGCATGGAACAACAAAAGTTAATGGTAATTAAATTGGTAATCAGCATTAAAATGGTAATTAGCATTAACTTAGTGATTTCTTTTCTAAAAAAGTATTGCATTATTTAAGTTTTAAAATAAAAAAAATATTTATCTTTAATGCTTTTTTAATTATTGAGCCTCACCTTGCCAGCATTAGAGGGATAATTATGGACCTTAAAACTACCAGGTTAATGCTCTACCTACTCAATCGTGGTACTTAAAAATAAAAGAAACACCATTTATACTCAAGTATATTGCAAGTTTTAATGATCATTTTAGTATACAAAAAATAATGGGTTCCACCATACACAGGTAATTTTTCTGCAGGGCTTAAAAATCATTCATTTTTGGTGCCTGGTTGCACCATACACTGATAAATTTTTTCTAGAGAGTTTGAAACTCAGGCCAAAAAATTCAGGAGTCACACTATACATGGTCAGGTTATACATGAGTATATAACATCCTAATTTGGATTCATTTTTTATTTCATTTCCTTTAATCAGGACACTTCATCAAACTAGAGACCTTAGAGATCTCTTTTTTACTCACTTTCCTTAAAGCTACCAGTAAGTAAGAAACACTAAGTAATAATCATTTTCATACTCTGTAAAAGCTGAAAGATTAAATTAGTTTAGGAACTTTGTTAATGCAGGACTGAAAAAAAAAACAATGTATTTATTTGTTAGTTATTGTATGTTGCAAATAAATCACATAATTACTGATGTCTGTTTGCTTGTTGGAAAAATGGTTGTTAATGTTTTGTTTTATTTGAGGACATCCTGTTTAAATGTTCTAAATTTCTTACAAATTCTGAATGTTTCTAGTTTACACCTTACCTTAACTTCTGGAAACATGGCATTGTTGGAAAATATGTAGAATAAATCTGAGCAGACTGTGGCAAGTAAGATTTCTTTTAGCATTTAATTTAAAAAAAGATGAAATTATTTAAAAAAAAAAATAAGGAAATAAATTAATGAAGAATAAAGAAACACAGGGAAAATGCAGACAAAAGGAAGAAGTAAAAAGAGAATAAAAAGAAAAAATATGGAAAACAAAAAAAAAATTATAGAACCAAGAATTGGGTGGTTGGTGCCATTTTGTATTTATTTACCAGGTTTTATCACAATATCTTTCATGATATTTAATTAGTCAAGAGAAGTTATTAGACAATACCCATCTCCTTTCCACATAATATGGTAAGTAGTACTGAGCTGGATTGTGGCAGGAAAGAATCCACGAATAGTCCAAAGTTGTACTATATCTGTGCAAGGTGAGAATTGGTTAATGTCTTTCTTCAGGGAAAAATGTTGTGCAAGTGATTGGAACAGCAGGGATAAGAATTTGAATTTGACTTTGTGATTGTTTTCTGGGTTGATAACCATAAAGTCAGTTCAGATTGAAAAAAAAAAATGTGAGCAATGGGAATTTGACCCCCAAACAAAGAAAATTATGGAGAAATATAAAACAAGAAAAATATTCATTATTATGAAAAGATAGAAAATTTTAGAAATGGTTTAAGAAAGTAAAAAAAAAAAAAAATTAAAAACAAAAATGAGAGAAAAATACACAGATTTTGGCAAATATATTGGAATCAAAATCAATTGAAAGGATTGAAAGGTTGAATGAGTGTTGTAATGTTGTCTTTGTTCAAAATAGCTGAGAATTAGAAAGGCCGTAGTTGGAATATCAAAGGAACATAAGATTAGGGAGGGGAAAACAAAGAAGAAGAGATTTATTAAATACTCATAGAATGTAAATCAAATACTACTTGCCATATTTATAAGTAGGAGGAGTCCATTGTCACAGTTTTTGTGAGTCAGACTCTACAACAATGAATGAGAAAAATGATAGACTAAAAGAGTACAAAAAAGAAATGTAAGAAAAAGAAAAAAAACAATGTGTGTATGTGAGGGAGAGAGGGAGATAAGAGAGTGATAGATAATGGGTATGATAATAGGTATATGGGAGGAAATGGAGAAGAAGGAATTTGCCCCTAAAATTTTCATAGTTGCCCTAAAAATAAATGACTCTTGCCTGGAAAATGTTCAAATTCATTTGTCCAACTATGTATTTCTATGAATATAAAAGAAGTTAAAATGGAAAAACAGAAAAACACTGGGATGAAACAATATCATT